GGGACATGTTCCTTCCCATCACTCACAGGGGAAGCTTCTTCCAGGACTCCTTCTTCTCCAACATTCACCAGCACTTCGACGCCGCCGTCAGGGAGGTCCTGGACAAGTGGAGCGGCTCTGACCTCAGGCTCACAGACCGCACAGAGGACACCAACGTCCGCCACAGTGATGTCCTTGGTCGCTACAGAAGGCTTCGATCCGTCGACCTGAAGGAGGAGAACCAAGCTGTCACTGTCACGTCGGATGACACCAGTCACAAGGTTTGTCGCGATGACATGACACGATTAATCGTTACTTTACTGAATACTAATTGACTTATTCTTATCAACTGATTTTGAACAGTTTTTCGATATTCATCTTTGATATTTAAGAGAAATGATAAGGCAAAATCTCTACAGGTGGTGCTGGACGTGCACGAGTTCCTGGGAGGAGACGTGACGGTGAAGGTGGTTGACGAGAGTGAGCTGCAGGTGAAGGACGCGTGGAAAAGAGGAGGAGGAAGTTCCTGTGTGGCTGTGCACTCCTTCAGACGCCGCTTCTCCCTGCCTCGCCTCACCAACATGGCGGCCATCACCTCCGCCATGTCCTCCGACGGCGTCCTCACCATCACAGTGCCCAAACTGGTGGGTGTTTTATCTTCTTTTCTTTTCTACTTTTCATCAGTGTATCATATATAAAACTTTAAATCGTAAATTTCGCGGAAGAACATGTTTTTAACTGTGGGTTTTTTTTGGAACAGGAAAGCGAGGACAAGCAGAGGACGACCATCATCCCCATCAAGGTCGAAGAGACGAATTCGCAGACAAACGCTTCCAAAACAACAGTTTCTCAAAACACAAATAAACAGGAAACCAAATGCGAACACTGCAGTCGGGACGCCGTCTCCAAGAAGGAGAGCAACAAGGCAGTCATCAGTGAAACGTGTGTCAAGAGAGAGAGCGAGTCCTGTCAGTCCGAGAAAAGGTCCTCGGCACTTGATTCCTTCGCTGGACACAACTTCCTTCCCATCGTGCGTAGAGGACTCTTCTTCGACGATTCCTTCTTCCAGGAAAGCTGGAAGGATTTCCAGAGGGCGGTGAAGGAAGTGTTGAACAAGTGGGGAGAACAGTCCTCCATTGGCGACGACCTAACGCGCTACAGAAGTCTCCGAAGTCGTGACTTGAGAGAAGAAAACCAGGCTGTCACTTCCTCGGAGGATGAACGTCAACACAAGGTAGGAGTGATACCAGATGTTCCTCCAAGAATCTCAGACTGCAGTACGGAAAATATTCCATAAAAAAAAAAAAAAAAAGTGACCACATTAGACTTTTTCGTATGTAGTAAATTTCCCGCTCATTTTTTCCAGTTCGTTCTCGACGTGAAAGACTTCAGTGACGGCGGAGAGATCAGCGTGAAGGCTGTGAGCGACAGAGAGTTGGTGGTCGAAGGCCGCAAGGAGAAGCAGGGAGACGGATCGAGGTGTTCTCAGCGGTTCCTTCGGCGCTTCGTCGTTCCTGGAGACATGCAGCTGGATGGCGTCACCTCAGTCGTGTCTTCTGACGGTGTGCTCACCATCTCGGCTCCTAAGAAGGTAAGACCTACACCCATCCACTGTGTATCATCATCACAAAGCGAAAGACTGTGTCTAAAAGGCTTTAACTGATGTCTAAAAGGCAAGTGGGTTTCTGATGGGCTTCTCCCCTTAACAGCAGCCGAAGCTCCAGGTCAAGGAGGTTTCCGTGCCCATAACCACCGAAGGAAAGAAAACTGGTCCTGCCGACACCGTCATGCAGAATGGAGATCTCAAGTCGAATGAGGCTGCAACAGGCGCTGTTGCAAAAGAAAACAAGCAGCAATATGCCACTCCCGTATCCAGCGCAAACTCTGCTCCCTCCAACGTACCCTTCAAAGCAAGTGCGACTCGCGGACCCGAGGAAACTTCCTCCTCAAACCAGGTACATCAATCTTAACCATTTTTCACTATAATTCTCTTTGGTAAGTGTGGAGAGGGTTCAATGAAAAAAAACTAACTCACAATTACTTCAAGGAAAAGTACTCACATACCAAACTCATTTTTAACAGAAAGGAGATTCTCAGCAGCACACCACCGTCATTCCCGTCAGAGTCCAGGGAACAGAAGAGATTTCGGGGAAGCAGACCTGCTCCCCTTCCAAGCCTTCGACAGGAGTTCGAGACGAAGACGCCTCCGCCAGAGCCACGTCCTTCGCCGCGAGAGGAAAAGGAGGCGACGCTGAAGAAGGCAGCCAGGAGGATAAGGACCTCTACAAGCTGAAGGGAAGCGGAGCCAAGTTCCCCATCAAGATCAACGGATCTGTGATTAATACTAACTCAGTCTAACATGTCTGAACATTCCAAGCGTAATGGATATAAGAAAAGAGAAAAAATAGTTTTACAGAGAATTTATTCAACTAAGAAATATTTTATTAAAAATTTGCATATTTATTGGAATAAAAATGGTCGTACTTTCCACTATTTTATTCGATCCATTTTCAAGTTGTAAATGCTACACTTCCAGGGCATTTGACCTGAATCGACAGCTCCTTTTTTCCTGTGGCATCTTAAATAAGTTTAGTATTTACGTTTTGAATAATTTTGGTTTTGATTTCTGAACTCTGTGCAATATAAAAACTATAAACAAAATACTCTAAACATTACTGATATTTAAATAAAAAAGGAAAAAACATAATGAAGAAATATTTGATATTTGTAATATACAAAAGGAAAGAGAGACTGAGAGTTAAATATCCTGGCACGGAGTTGAGTATAGGAGATATATAAGCGACTTGAAGCGTCTTAAAAGTTCCAAGGAGTATGAAAGAAGATATCTCCTTACTATCAGTATTTTCCATTATCAAACAAGAGATGCCGAAAAGCAGGCGGTAAATATTCTCAAATATTTTGAATACATGCTGACGTCATCTCAGTATGCACTCTATTCCTGATAACATGCATTTATTAAGCATGTATGTATTCATGTATGTTCATATTAAGAACTGTAGATAAAATTAATGTATTAATAATGAAATTAGCTAGAGAGTCATAAATCCGACTACGAAATTTATTGATATGTCCAAAATATCAGGGGGGTTTTTACGTCTGGTTTTCATTTTAGCCTTTATATTCACTTACAAACATCATCCTATCTTTTGTCGCCTTTACAGTCACTCAGTTAACAACAACAATAAATAATTCAGCATAATCCAAGTCATATATTTCCCCGACGTATCATTTTAAAGCAATTTCTGTCATCCCTTCCTTCCAGAAACAACTCGATGAACTGACATACTTCCGCCTCGAACGACCTTTGCTAACTGACTACCTGACCATCGCCTCGTCCGCCTCCTGGGAACGTGACCGACAAGTAGATTTCTTAGCGGGGATATCAGATGGCGAAAAAAGGAGCGATTTGCACAGAACAGGTAGGGACGGCGTTATATATATAGGAATTCGTTCGATCGTCATTTCCTTGCATTCACCAATCCACACACAGTAGTTTATATGTGAACAAGTATACACACACACATATATATGATAAACTAATATGTAGATAGATACTAATGAATATGCAATATATTTATGTTTGTATCTGTATATACACTATATCTATCTATATATATATATATCTACTCTCTCTCTCTCTCTCTCGCTATATATATTATATATATATATATATATATATATATATATATATATTATATATATATATATATTATATATATATATATATATATATATATATATATATATATATATATATATATATATATATATATATATATAATATATATTATATATATATATATATATATATATATATATATATATATATATATATATATATATATATATATATATATATATATATATATATATAATATATATATATATAGGTAGTGTGTGTGTGTGTGTGTGTGTGTGTGTGTGTGTGTGTGTGTGTGTGTGTGTGTGTGTGTGTGTGTGTGTGTGTGTGTGTGTGTGTGTGTGTGTGTGTGTGTGTGTGTGTGTGTGTGTGTGTGTGTGTGTGTGTGTGTGTGTGTTAAGAATATTTTGACACTGACCTATAAATGATGCTTTATTGAATTGTTAAACTTTCACAGATAATCTTGCCTTAACGTAGAAGTTGAAATCATACTGAGGCATAAAATTGATTAATCAGTTGTATTTTTTTCAGGTAGATTATGTCACATACATATTTTCAACTGTTATAACTACTATGGACTACAATTCCCACGTATATTGTTATGAAATGTTACATATAGTTTCCGCGCACCGGCCTTGTCTGCCTCGAGACTTTGCACGCACGTATGTTCATAATGCCAATAGTCGCCATTTGCTGAAATGCTCACAATTAATCTGATGTCATTTGGAAACAAAGGAGTCAGCACCTCTTTAAAAGGGAATGCACCGGGTGAGTCATTCATTCACTACAACAAACTTCTTTCGGGTGATTTACCGTTTCTAAATGAAGTGGAATGAGCCACATACTCTTACTAGTCACCTAAGATGAAGGAAATAGCACATGTGTGGGTGGTTTTAGAATTATGAATTTGTGGCAGTTTCCAGTACGGGAGACAAAGGCAACAAGAGCTATTTATAAGTGGTTATTAAATCTCTGCTTATCATCTGCTGTATGAATTAGTATATAATCGCCTTTGGTTTAAGTAATGGCCTATTATTATTCATTTTGGAAATTATCTTAGAAAGTCTCTATTTTTTACTGAAACCTAATCTTTAGACATTTTTTTTTGTTGGAGAAAATGCTTATTTTTTTCTCAAGGATTAATTTTAGTTACTTTATTCAAATGTATTTTTTCTGAACTGTTCACATTATTTTACCTGATAGCGCAGACTCATATGGTCTGTAGATCAGGCAATATTGTGAGAATCTAAGCTCGGGTGCGTACATCTTTATTTTTTAATCAAAATGATAAGAAGAATGATTAGATTAAAGGATACGATGTTTTGATAAATCCTATTTCACGTGAATCTGAATGGAGACG